AGTTCCAATCCATTAACCGTTTATCCATATATCCGTAATCCGTTATCCAAGTATCCGATCTGAATTTATCCGGATATTTGTTAACTATTGATATCCGAATAATTTATCTGAATATCAATAGTAAACGAATATTCAGATAAATTCAGATATGGATAAATGAATGATGAATTTATCTGGATTGAAACTCTAGTCATAACGATTTAAAAATTTTACCATAGATCCTTGTTTATAATGATTGGTGATTATCTTTAGTCTCAAGAAAATATCTTCCATAACTACACTTTGCAAAGAGTTACTTGATACTTATAAAACTGCTGAAAGCTTCGTTGTTCGACATGCAAGTGTCTATTTTAATATACTGTTGCAGTTTTTTTCTTTGCAACTTACACTTTCAATACTTGCTTGCCAGTTCCGTATTTTTTTTTAGTATACTGGATTTGTCTGGATAAGATAAAAAGGTTAAGAATCTTTTCACTGAAGAAGAATGGATGGAAATGAAAAATGATTTTAACGAAATAGTCGAATTTAAAGATATAAATGAAAAAGAAGAGTTATACGAATTATTTGATAAGATTCAAGAGGTAGCACTTTTAGGCTTATTCATGTAAACCAAAGTTCATGATTTTTATTGGTTATAGGCAATAGGAGATTTCGTGATTCACAGTCTACCCTAAATTTAGCGAAATTTGTTTTATAAAACATGTGAAAAGAATTTTCAGAACCTTATCGTTATGCAAAAAGCATAAAAGTGTTTCGATCTGATATGAATAATGATGCCCGAAAATTATTTCGCCAACATGTCATTTACTCGACATCACAAAAGTTGTATTTAGCATTTTATTATATTGCTAGTATCACGCAGCGTGATGTCGAGTAAATGACATGTCGGGGAAATAGTTTTCGAGGAAATGAGACGTAACCGACTTATTGGTTACATAATTCGTTATCTTAATCTTTGATAAAAGAAGGACTTAACATTAACCAACTTCTTCCTACTGCAATTTGTATTAATGCAAGCCGCAACAACAATACAGCCTACAACAACACCAACGCCAACACCATCTGCTTTACTGACACAAACATCATCAGCATCCTCCGAATTACCAACATTTACAAGTATTTCTACTGTTAATCCAGTGACTACTTTATTAGTGGGTGTAACCAGCATACCGTGATACCTGCTTTTGTTGCTGAAAATTTAGACATTATGTTTCTACTATCAATATAGTAATCGCTTTATTAGTGGATGCAATCTTATGTTACCAGCATACCATGGTACCTGCTTTCATTGCTAAAAATTTGAATGCTATGTTCAAGTGCCCCTTCTTGTGTGCAATAAGGATTGAATTTTTTATTAATGTTAGTAAAGTTTTGTACTTTTTTAAATTTATATTAAATTTTTTTTTTATTAAATGTTTTGACACCATGTACAGCTACCTACCATATTATTGTGGACACTTTTTCGCGCTCAATAACTCGGAATCGGGTAAGTAAATGCGGTACA